AACAAATGCACCAAACGAAGGAGCAAGTAACATAGTGAGGGATCACGTTGCTACAATAGACAATGAAGAGGTTTTAGCAATGATGCCCGAGAGAAATGATCTCCGTCGAACAGTCAATCGAGTTCAAAATAATGATTCTGGTGCAGATGACCCTAACAGAATTCTAATCTTCACGAATCCTACGGCGCGTCCAACGCTATCAAGAATTCAAAGATGAAGATGACATTCCACGGTACCTAAGGGGCATTGCCTATTACATTCGAGTTTCCAACGAGCCCGAAGACGAGGATAATGAGGAAAGTGATCAAGAATGAAGAATATCTAGAAACAAAAATAAATGGACTTTTGGGCATTTTTGTGTTTGGCCAAAGAACCAGTATTGGACATTTCAGATACTTGGACATTTGTAAAATAGGGACATTCTCAACTCTGGACATTTTTGCTTGTTGGACATTTTTTTTTGGACATTTTGACCTATCACCACAAAAAACATCGCCAGCATTAAAAAAAAGATGCAAAGAAAGAAAAAACTCTTCAACAGTTTAGAATTATGATGTAATTATCTAGAACAATTTGAAAATTAGAATGGAGCACAAAACAAACTAGTCTGCTCAAAAGTTGTTCTCTAGTAAAAGGAGCTAATTTTGCTTTTGTTAAAGTAGGAAATGAAAGTACAAATAACTTGTACGTTCCTAAATGGACCAGCCATACTGCTTGTGTCAGTGCTGCCCCTCATAGATCTAGAATAATGTTAGTTCATTTTAATTAACTTCTCTTGCATCTGTCAGTAGAAATCAATCCCTTATTTAAAAAACAGTGGATAGGTATTTTGCGATGAAAATTCAACTACTTTATGTACTATTTGTGTGAGTCAACCACCACTGTCTCCTTTCAGTCTCTCCTGGAATGATAGATGCGGGTAGTAAAAACCTAAACTCTGCTTCAGCAAAACCAGACTGTTTAAAAACATGTTCAGGTCCTTCATTTTTCAGTCATCGTGGGTGGTGCAACAGAGCTGCTTCTCACCTTTCTAAATACTTAAGCGCTGTATTTTAGCCTATTAATCTTACCCCAGAGCTACCAAGAGTTATCATTTTAAGCAGTGTGCCTGGTTTTTTTTTTTGGTTCCCCCTTCAATTTTTTCTGCTTCACTGATCCACTTTTTTCATAATTTTTGGGTTCATCAAAGTTGAAGCAACGAATATCTGCGAAACCAGTTTCAGCTTATTTGGATCTATTTGTTAATGATTTAAATAAAGATGGTCGCTGTCAACCTAAAAGAAAGGTTTATTATTTATTAAAATTTTGGTTTTACTCTCCAAATATACAGTTTTTATTATTGAGCAGAATTTTCAGCATTCTGAACAGTGCATCGATAGTCAATCAATCACTTCATAATTTCTAGATTTTAAGACATTTCTTAACACATTTCCGAGCTTCATGTCACACTGTAGTCCATAAAATATTTGTACAGGAGATTCAACAGAGCATCTTGAAACAGCTTCACGAGAACGTCCCAAATAATGTGGCAAGTCATAAAGCAGAATGTTTCGCAATGTTCATCAGAAACGTACTTCCAGAGTTGTTTTCAAGTGTGTCTTGATCAAATTTTGTGTACAAATACCTGACAGATTACAGCGCTGAGTTGCTTGGCGTTTATGAGAAAACGTCTTAAAATCTAGAAGTCATCAAGTGATCTTTAGACCATCAAATCGTTCTCCAAAATGTTGAAGATCCACCTTGATGTACAAATGAATTCAACATCAGGAACTTGTTGTGGATATCAGCTTTCCTGTTTCAAGATTATTTGTTGTGAAATGTATCATTGACTCATGGCCAAGGCTAATTAATCTGCCAGTTACGTCATAATCAATACTGGGCCAGTATTATAGCCACCTGACCTGTGTAATAGTTATGTACATGGCTCATGTACCAATTGTAAGAATAAAAAAATATCGTAACGCTGTTGATATGACACATGAAAGACTGGTCTTACCAGAGCAAACTCTCAGTGTCACATTTTGTCTTTGTTACAATATTTTTGAAGGATAGTAATCTACAAAAGCAATTTTGTGAAGGCGAGGAACAATATCCACTGGACAGAAATTTTTTTTTTTTTAGGTCATCGGCATTGGGTCGAACAAGAGAGAAGTCTTCCAAATTTACGTGAGACTTGGAGATTTTGAAAGTCTCAAAGTTTCAGAATCAGAGGGAAACCTCAATACCCAAAAAACTCAACAGTACCTTGGCCTTATAATTCCAACCAGAATGAATCACACCAAAAGTGAAAGAACTATGTTGACAGAACTGTCCTAAATTTTACGTGATCTGATTTTTGGGATAAAAGAATTGATGTTGGGGAGCGTTCACGATTGAAGAATATTCTTTCTGAAATCATTTTTTTTTTTTTAATTTGTTTATTTTTTTTATTTATTTAGAAATAGGTAACAATTTTCTACAAAAGATAACGTATTACACAAACATAAATGTGAAATTGTTATTTCATACAGGAAACTAACACCTGCTACTTACAAAATTCCCAAAGAATCATATTCCTTTCACCAAATGACAAAGAAAAAAGATCTGAACTTATGCTACAAATGGTAATAAAAGATCTGTCAATGAAGATACCTAATTAATGGACATTGGGTATAATCTAAAAATTTGAAAACAGGTGAAATGTGCCTAAGAATTAAGCGTTTTGAAGAGATGTGACAGTCATGATTTTTGTTGAGCCCATGTTTCTCTCAAGACTCCATACTCAATAAAATAAGTATCAAAAATCTTCTTGGCCTTCGAAAATTTGGAGATGGATTCCAAAAATTGGGCTTACCATCTAACGACTCCTAAAGTTTGAGGGGAAGTTAAAATGCAGAAGTTTGGGGTGAATCTAAGCACTACATATATCAGAATAATTCTTTGACTCATTTTAACTGACTGTGAAATTAGATTATTTTCCTTTCAGCATCTGGCTCACAGAAAATTGAGACCAGCCTCAGGAGAGAATGCATTACAAATGTGGGATCATACCCGAAATTGAAGATAAAATGATGAGAGGTAACATCATAAATCAATTGATAGTAATGCTTTGTGAGATAAACAGTTTTCCAAACCTTCTTTTTTGCAGACAGATTCCGATGAAGTGAAGAAAATAGTACTCTATAAAGTAGTACTTCCTCGTACAATGATTATATTTGATATATTATGTGCGTGCTTTTTTCCCTCTTAAATATATTTATAATCTAAGTACCAATTCTTACTCCTACCCTCATTGCATTCTGTGAATTATCATTTAGAGTTTTATGCGCAAACTTAATTAAGTGTTTTGGACTTTCTGTTCACAGGTTCTATTTTGTAAGAAAAATACAAACTTCGATTTTGTCATCAACTTGGACTGTTAACTATCTAGTCATGCTCAGGTGCTAATTTCTACTTTCCCAGATTTAATTTTAAGAAATATGTCCTTCTTTTTCTCTCTTCCCTCCTACCCCCCCCCCCCC